AACTCCTTAAAAGGGGTTGTACAGGGGATTACATAGGGGACTCCTGTACCGGTTACTGAGGGACTACTAGGAGTTTAGACTCTAGCTCACATGGGGATTGCGCACCAAGTGCTTCGCCCCTGCCAACTGCTGTTGCAGATTTATTGCACCACGGCTTTGCATTCGGAAAAAGTGTGTGTACTCCACTGCAGGTTTTGCAAATCGTGCACATGACTTGCAAATTTCGGCACATCGTTGCAGCATGATATAAAAACATGCGTCACGTAGAAATGCGCAGTAAATTCTCAGTGAACGTGCCAAAAACATGTGTTGCACTTTTCCGGTGACAGATTTTGCATCACATTGCAACACTGTGCAAACAGTGCGCAAGACGACTACAGTTTCAAGTCCAGTGCGCAAAGCCCAGGTGTAATGACTGCGCAATAGGATGTGATAGTTTCCCTGAATAAGGGGACTCCAATATAACACCAAAATACTACAATCCTTATTATGGGGACCCCTAAAATGGCACCCCTATCTTTGGGAAACCCCCATGTGCAGGTGGCATGTGCAGAAAAATGGTGCGCACTCCCCATCTGCCAAAAATAGGCCGGCAGTGATCCCCCTACTGTTCAACACGGCAAGCGCCCTGAGTTTAGGGTTTAGGGTTTATAGGGTTTACAGGGTTTATAGGGTTTACCCCCCTTTTAAATACTCCCCATCGTCGTACATTATGATACGTTGGAAGCAGATTATGTTAGGGAGTGATGGGGGGTTTAGTTAGGGGAGGGGATTATGCTAAAAGAGATTTGTGGATCCATAGACTGTGGCTGCCCAAGAACTCAGAGCCCTAGTTTTAGCAGTTTAGGGGTTTAGGGTTAAGGGTTTAGGGTTAAGGGTTTGGGGTTTAGCGTTTAGGGGCCCCTAGACACTAAACCCTAAGTTTGTGCACCCGACCTCCAGCGGACTGCAGCAGCAACATGGAACTTGTCCCAAAAACGAGCCAGCTAGCCTGAAATGGATCCCAACGGGCTGGAAAGGGGTTCAGGTTTGTTGTTTCAGGTTTTGCGTTTTAAGCCTCTAAACCCTGACACCCTGAAACCCTTAAACCCTAAACCCCTAAAACCCTAAAACCCCTAAACCCTGGTTTTCATTTTTGGGGTCTAGAGTGGTTCAGGTCTTGGGGCTCCGGGGTTTCCAGTTGCGCTAGAAGCACCACTGGGCCACTGGGGCTCCAACCGTATGTCGGCCTCGGCCGGTGTAGAGTTTGGGGTTTAGGGTTCGGGTTTTGAAGCTTTGCTAAGACCTCAGAAAGCCCTACATTTTCAGCCAAGTTCGGACAAAAACTGGACACGTGCTCCCAAAGAGCTATATAGTACATACTCAGGTCTTAGACTAACGATGGAAGGTAAACCTAAACCCTCAACGCTGAAGGTATGTTGGGAGGGCGCTGAAAGCCTGGACAGGTTGGGGGAGGTCCTGCTGAAAGGGTGCTGTGATGCCATACACGGTTCAATTCCCTACAGGGCCCTAAGCTTAGGGTTTAGGGTTTAGGGTTTAGGGCTACCTGAAACCACTATTAACTACATTTTATTAATGTCCACACCAGAATGTTTAGGTATAATCCATAGAGCTGTAGGGACTTGGGGTTACAGGTAATGTCTCTTGACTGAAGTTCGATCACTATGAACACTGAACTCTAAGCCCTTTTTGTTTCTTCCTTTGACTTTGTTGTTGTGGTTGCCTTTCAGGCTACATCAAAACCTCAATCAGATTCCATCTGTAAAGAAGCTTCGAACCCTAAACTGGTCAGTATCCTTGCAGGCCTTATGATTCCTGGAAGGTCCTGTGAAGCCTTAGAGGTTTAGGGTTTAGGGTTTAAAGTCTACACCCTAAACCCTAAACCCTACAAACTGCATGCCCCGAGTTGCCTCAAATACTACATCCTAAGCCTTCAATCCTAAAGCCTAAGCCCTAAACCTTGCAAACCCTGAACCTTATGAACCCTGAACCCTGTAAACCCTAAACCCTAATCCCTAAACTAAACCCTAGTCCCTGAATCCCCAAACCCCATTATAGTAGTTTCCATGTTCTTTTCCATTGGTTCCCCATAGACCCCTATAAAACATAAAACCCTTATAAAACCACCCAATAACCACCAAAAACCCTAAACCCTGAACCCTAAACCCTAAACCCTATAATCTTACTAGGTTCAACTCACCTGCCCCCAAACTCATGGCTTCTGCGACGCGCCGCGGCC